ACCGAGAGAGGGACGGTGGCGGGCCCTAAACCCATGGTACTTCCATAGCTGGGGCTGAATGCAAACTGGGGTCTTCCTACCCATTGTCCTGTGCCTTAACCGAGTGTTTCTCAACCTTGGCCACTTTTAAGACAGGTGGACTTGGAAGTCCCAGAATTCTCCCAGCCTACCGTGGGGAATTCTGGGAGTCGGAGTCCACCTGTCTTAAAATGGCTGAAATTGAGAAACGCTGCCTTAACCAGTGCAGTACGGTCAATCCCGTGGGACGGCATCGGGTTTAAAACCTGATCGGAGAGGCACACGGGGTTGTGCTTAAATTCTTTCTTTAGGAACTAAGCTGGAAACTAAACTTAGGAAATGACAGGTGGATGGTTTCTGCAACGCTGGGCATCCTCACCTCAAGGGAAAAACGTATTTATTTTTATACTAGAAAAGGAAGACATTTTTGTATTTATAAAAAGTTAGAGCGCCGTATATTGAATTCCGGCCCTTCCCAAGCCAGGAGTCCTACACTTCCTATTTCAACAGCACTGAATTAAATAAAACGGGAGCGAGACATGTAGTTGAGTTGTAGTTCTTGCTTTTTTCCACCCCTGAGCTAGGAGTTATATATATATTCAGCCAAATCACTCGATGATCTTTGATGTCTTCGATACCAGGGGAGATTGTGGGAATAAACCTCGTAGCTTGGGAGAAAAACAGTAGTTTAGTGGAATAACTCAGTGGAGAGGGATGGAAGGGAATAATTTGACGTGCAGCTTTCCACCCTTGCACCCCAAAAGTAGCCACCTGTTTCAGTTGGATGCACAGAAACCTCTGAAAGCCACCAAATGTACTGCTCTCGTTTTTCAAGTTCCAGAAATGGTGGGTTGAGAAACTGTAAATACATCCCCGCATCTTAATCCCTCCTTCTATCTCTTAGGCTTGCTTTGAGGACAGTCTTTGTAATACTGGTTCCTTTTTAAATTTTATTTTTTATTTTGCTCCTCTTTCTTGGGGAGAAAAAAACAAACAAAAAACCCCGACCTCTTATAACTTCCTATCTTCCTCTCTTTTTTTTGCCCTACCTGGTCTGTCTGCTGAGTGCTGCTTTTGAACTTGAATTCTCTGTACGTTGTTTACCTTTGTATGATTTTTAACAACAAGGAAAGAAAAGTTTGGCACCTACAGAGAAAAAGCCAGGGATGGGGGCAGGTGGGGAGAGAAAAAAAAATATCGGATGCTCTAATGTCTTACTTCCTTCCTCTTCTTCCTTTTATTGTCTCTTGAAACACTGTTAATAAAAATCTAAAGTAAACGCTTTTATCTCCTCTTCTTCTTGCATCTTGGTGTTTATTTTGTGATCTGTCACTTCTTCCCCCTGCCTTGCACCTGCATATTAACGCTCAAGCTTTGGGACCAAAAAAGAAAGAAAAAAAGATTGGCATCAGCCACAATGCAGATGGTCATTAGTGATGAAGCAGGGAGAGGCTTGGATCTTAATGGAATTATTAAAGCACCCCTCTAGAATTAACTAAGCTGTCCCTTCTATTGTTTTCTCCAGCAATTATTTGCTTTAATTTGATGAAGAGGTCTACCTAATTTGCAGCTGGAGACATGCGTAACTGGGAGGGGGCCTTCCCTGGGAATTGCGTAGCATCGTTTAATGCCACCAGAGGCTTCTGGGAAGCAGAGATGTTGAGGCTCCTGCTTTCCAGAGTGACTTCCATAAAGATGAAGGGTTTTGACTCTTCCCATTCGTTTTAATATCATCTAAGCAAAAGGTCCAGAGTCCATTTTTGCTGCGCTTCAGGGCTAGAAACCAGTGACGCTTGACTAGGGGGAGGTGTGTGTGTTTGTGTGCGTGGCCTGAGATGCAGGCTAAACTGGGCAGTCAAGAAAAATCTCCCAGGGACCTCCAACGGCAAAACTAAATTGCACAGAGGTGAAACTCAGGGGTGCCATTCTGGAATTAAATAGTCTGGAATTGGTTACGATTACGTTCCAAAACGTAGGCTGGGATTCAGATGACATTCTTGGGAAGAGTCCTCAAGTTTTTGGGAACTGTTATCTTCCAAAATCAAGCATGGACTTGCAGGACTGCTCTGGGACTCACAGCGCATCTCACCTGGCCACAGTTTCGCCACAGGTGTAGTTTACGGCGACTTCTTTTTTTTAAAAAAAAAAAGGACACTAGGTCAAAAGGTTGAGCCGTGCCAACTGAGTAGTACATACCGGCTTTATCCTCCAAGGAATCAGCTGTAGACATGACTGGGGGCTACACTTCAAAGGAGTGTGAGAGGTGAAATAGTACCTCACCTCTCCTGCCAGCTTCCCCAGAGATAAGACATAACAATCTGGGCAAAAACTCCCCATTGGCAAGCAAGCTGCAGATAGCAGTTGGGAATGAGGCAAAGCCAGCCTTGAATTGAAAGCTCAATGCTAGGATGATTTGCAAAGAGAGCTAGCAGGGACCAGCCATTCAGAAGCTGCTTGTAACAGGGCCAACGGGTAGCCCTCAAGGAAATGCCTTCAAAAGAACAAACAAGATCGGTGGCCTTGATAAAGACCCCACTTTTTAATGCACGGCCCCTGTGTCTCCTTTTGCTCAACCCTGTCACACGAATGGAAATAATTTCAGGGCCTGGAGATAAGGTGGAAAGGAACTTCTGCCTACTTGAATAGCGGCAAAGACACTGCGCAACCCCTTCCACTTCGGTGTGAACTGAAGCTCCTATGGTTGTTAACCTGAAAATAACAGGAGTTTCTCCTCGGGGGTGGGGGGGGAGTGTAAAGATATAAGTTGAAAGGATTGGTGGCGATTCCTAGAGCCAAGCTCAAGGATGATGATGATGATGATTTGCAATTAGCCAAAGCTTCCTGCTGGTCACTGGGTGGAGAGCAACGAAGAGAGATAAATTTAGTTTTCTCTGCACCTTGCCTAACATTTAACATAAGGAGCTCTCTCCTCTTAATTATCTCTCTGCCAATTTAATCTTCTTGCTGCATAAACTACAACTGGCGCTATTTCCTTCGTGGTTCCTGGCTGCTCTTAAAAAATATTCTCAAAAGTGCCAGACCATTAGATGTGCTTCTCTTTCGTTCCTGCTCTCTAATGGGTCACAACAGGCCTGCTCAAATCTGTCCATTTCCAACAATGTGTTTCTGCTCCAAACTATAAGCCGAAAACAGGTTGTGATGTGTAAATTACTGTCTTTTTACAACGTTCATTGACGGTGATGGGGATATAAAGAAGGGTGAAGAATTCACACCTCTTTGGGGGCAGAGTCTAGCTGAGTTCAGTCTGCAGCCAGAGATGCTGGGGATTGAAATTTTTGAGGCATTCCCGTTTTCCAAAAATTCTTCTGAAGCGTGGAAGTTCCATATCATTTGATCTTGTTTCCAGCTGGAGAGTGGTTTCTTAAAACTCCTGCTTGGCTTCCATTTCCAAGTTGTATGCAAAATTAGGGCTGTAATCATCTGGACGACTGTAACAAGCTGTTGTGTATGAAACATTTTGCTAATATGTTAAAAGAGTAACTCCGGTAACAGAAAGAACCTGCATGCACAACAAAACGTAGCTTTTATTCAAGTTTGTTTTCCCTTTTGCAATGTTTGAACGTTGTGGACATATGCATCACTGATAAAAATCTGAACTGGGAGATTTCAAAAGGAAAACAAAAAACCCTGCAACAGAATGCCGTGGGAGATACTTGCAACTCTTCGTTTGGGATTTAATGCTTGAAATATCCTTTTGATCAAAATTCAGGAGGAAACAAGAGCCAAGAAGAGATGTTAGGATTTCTGGAGAATTTCCCTGGACATTGTAACAACCTCCAGGAAATGACTCCAGGCTCTTGTGTGTTTCTACAGTCCACGGTTTTTCAGTCTTGCCTTCAAGATCTTTTGCATGTGCACGTTACTATCAAGTTCAGCTTTCCCGCTGCCCGTAATTTCTGCCTTTTCCACCCAAAGAATGGTTGGGATCTGTGGACACCCTGAAACAGAAGTGCTAGCGTGCTGTGCAAGAGCTTTTGCGTTTTACAACCTGGGTGGTGTGTGTGTGTGTGATGGGCCCCCGTCAAGAAAATTAATACTACTCATTGCATTAGTCTTAGATACCATACTTTCCGCCAGAGAGATTTACAAGCCACCGTTTACCATTTAGTATGGGACACAAACCCAGTCAGTGCAGGGGTGGGATTCAATTTTTTTTAACAACCGGTTATGTGGGCGTGGCTAGGTGGGCATGACCATGTGACTGTGGGCGTGTCTTCTCTCTCTTTTTTTTTTTTGCAGTACCTACCCCTGGTTTTTTTTGCCTTCTGGGCCTCAGGGAAGCCTTCCCGGGGGGGGGGGAGTGATTTTGCTCCCAAGGAAGCTTCCCTGGGGCCCAGGAAGGAAAAAAAATGGAGCACCGGGGGTGGGTGGGAGGACGACACTCAGGGAAGCCTCCTGGGTGAAGCAGTACGACAGCGAGTGGGATTCTGGCACAGCTGATCAACGGAACAGCTGATCGTTGGGAGGAGGGAAAAAAGAAATACCTTAAGGCAAAGCTGGCTGAGGAATTCTGGGAGTTGAAGTCCACAAGTCTTAAAGTTGCCAAGGTTGGACACCCCTGCCTTAAGGAGTGACTGGGCGGGGAAGAATGCAGTCAGGATGTCGCGCATGCGTGGTGAGGACTGACTGGGCGTGGAGGGGAGTGGCGGGAGGAGAGAGGCGGGGCCAGCCAAGGGCACCATTTGCCAGTTGTCCGAACTGCGCAGAATTGTAACAACCGGTTCCATTGACCGGTGGAATCCCACCCCTGAGTCAATGTGGTTTTTGTACTAAATCACGCAACCTTCACGGGATGTGTGAACACGGCCAGTATTTTCAGGCATCCTCCCTTCTTCTTCTTCTTCTTCTCCCAAAAAAACTGAGCTTATTTGCCAGGAGGAAAACCAACATGCATGAAATCCCACCTTCTCCTTAAACCTGGTGTGATCAATGCCATTGTTGTGTTTTTCTTTCTCCCACAGGAGATACCACTTACCTTGACATCTTCCGGGACTTTTCCCACATGGCATCCAACAATCCTGAGAAACTCAACCGGCGTAGCCTTCATTTCCATCCTTCTTACCGATAGTTTTCGCCTCCGGCGTCTACTTCTGATGGTAAACCCAAAGGAGTAACCGAGAGATGAGGGTTTTTTTCCCCCCTGTGTGACCAAAACACAAAAACGAGGAGGGATAACTTGTAAAGAGCTGGGTCTATCTGAGATGCGACGTCTCTACGCATCCTCTAAAACGCACGCCAGTTTCGACACACCTTCCCCAAGGAGGTTTTTCCCTCCATTCCCCAGACTTTCTGAACAATTAATGGCACGTCCTTGCAAATACATCTGCCAGAATGATTAGCCACAGAAATGGATCAACAAAAAACTAGAAGGTTTTTCTATGGTTTTCCTCCTTGCTGGCCAGGGAGTTGCCTTCTTCGCTAGCTCTTCGCTTTCTTGCTGGCAGCTGGCTGCCAGTTGCAAACATAAGACAAACAAGGTCATAATAGCTGCCTGACAGGGTCTGATAGGGAAGGATTAGTCCCATCTATTACTAGTCTTGGCTCATCAGGGGTTCAATTTAATTGCAGCTTATGAAAGAAAATACAGTTTGATGGGACCCATTCCAAGGGCAGTGCATTATGGTTTAGCCAACCAGCAGGCTGGGGACCACTGGTGGTCCATGAGAACATTTTGGTAGTCCACAGAGAGATGTCACCCCCAAACAATTAATCCAGGCTGCATGGGAATACAAGGCTGTGCCTCCCAAATGGCCCACGGGAACTTGCCCCACGCGCCTGGCCTGGCCACCGGGCTGCTTCTTTCCGCTTCTTTCTTCTTCTGCTTTTGGCTGCACACAAGGAAAGCAGCAAAAGTCTTTCTTTCTCTCCCCCAAACTCTGCCAGAAATGAGTCTTTGGGACCCTGCAAGGCATCCTGCTCCAAGAGGCTGCACCAGCGCGACAAGTCTCACAAAGACTCATTTCTGGCGGAGTTTGTGGGACAGAAAGAAAGACTTCAGCTGCTTCTGCTGCTTTCCTTGCATGAAGTCAAAAGTCTCTCTCTCTCTCTCTCTCTCCCTCTCCCTCTCTCCCTGAGAACGGAGCTGGAGATGGTATCCTGTGATCCCAAAAAAAGAACGATCGATTGTTAGGAAAACGGGGTGGGGAATTTTCCTGCAGATTTTTTGGGGGATTTTCCCAGGGTCTCTAGTCCGCAGGATTTAAAATTATGAGTTTGGTGGTCGGTGAGGTCCAAAAGGTTGGTGACCCCTGGTTTAGCATGAAGTCCAATTCAGACAATTTGGGATCATTTCCTTCCTTTTCTTTCTGAATGGATGGATGGGGTGAATGGTTGGAAGAAAATATTGGTGGACTAGAACTCAAAGTCTGGTTTCCTGGCTAGCTTGTTGGCAGATGAAAACTTCGTCCCAGAGCTATGCCTTCAGATTAAGTCATTGCCAGGTTTCTGTCTTTTTCAAAACTGGAAAGGGAAATGTTAAGGCAATGTCTTCCAGGAACTAACTCATTGGCAAAATGGAACCTTTCTGGCGAAATCTGAAGTTTGATTAGGGGGAATTTGAATTTCAATTATGCACCAGAACACTTGATATAATCTTATTGTGGGGTACTGTGGGAAATTGAGACGGCTGGCCCGGCTCTCTTAGCCATAATTTGGCAAATGTGCCATAGTCACCCCATTGCTTGCTAAAATATTTTGATATCTTTTCTTCCTTCTCTTTTTTTAAACAACAAAAATTGATGGAAAGTGTTATTTTTATAAAAAAAATACTCACATCGTTTCATGGTTTGTTTTTTTTAAAAAAACAAGGTTATAGGGAAGAGTTTGTACTGGTACAGACCTCTTCTTGGAAGTGCTTAATTTTTTAGTGTGTATAGAAGTCCTTGTTTAATATGCTAAAAATGTAATATATCTCCAAGCAAAATATAAGTATTTGTAAAATCTTGGTGGGGGGTGGGGCAGAAGAGAGAGAGAGTGGGAGAGATGGACAGCAATGCCTTATTTACAAGAGTATAAATAAACTTGGGGGAGAGATTTTTCTTCCAATAAACCAACTATAGTTTCCTTGTAATTTTTTTTCTGGTTTGCACCTTTTTTAAATTGATGAGAAATTATGTCATGCTATATTTTATAGGATAAAATTTATTGGGAACAGTTTTATGGCCTGGAAGCCAGGTGGCTTCTTTTTTGGTAAGCTAGAATAAGTACTTGGTGTTCTAAGGTTAAGAAGCCAAAATATTTTCCTTTGAAATGTTTATACTTCTGCTTTCTTAGTAATGCTATTAAATTATATGTTAGGGAGGGATTAATTGCAGACTTCTAAGAGCAAACAGTTCTGATGCTTTAAAAAAATGCACACTGCAACAGAAGACGTACGTAGAGGTAGTTGTCGACTTACGACCACAAATGAAACTGGAATTTCTGTTGTTATGTAAGGTGGTTGTAAAGAAATGTGTGCCCAGTTGTGTGACCTTTTTTTGCTGTGACTCTAAAGCAAATTGCTACAGTTGTTAAGTAAATCGTGTTGTTAAGCAAATCCCACTTGCTTTATGGACTTTGCTTGTCGTAAGCCAGCTGGGAACTTTGCAAGTGGCAATCACCTCTCTCTCTCTCTCTCTCTCTCTCTCTCTCTCTCACACACACACACACACACACACACACACACACGGATGTTGCAACCACTGTAAATGTTTCCAATGGATGGAAACTCACCAAGGAGACCTGGAATTAAGGAGAAACTTCCTAACAGTGAGGACAATTAGCCGGGGGAACAGCTTGCCACCAGAAGTTGTGGGTGCTTCATCACCTGGAAGTTTTTAAGAAGAGACTGGACAGGCACCTGTCTGGAATGACAATAGGGTCTCCTGCTTGAGCTGGGGGCTGGACTAGAAGACCTCCAAGGTCCCTTCCAGCTCTGTTCTGATTGATTGAAATACATGCCGGTTGCCAAGCACTCAAATGTCGCATCACATGGACTGTGCCAGTTGTAAAGGTGAGGACCGATTGTCAGTCTTTTTTTTTTTACAGTGCCGTTGTAACTCGGAACGGTCACTAAATGAATAGTTGTAAGTTGAGGACTACCTGTTCAGCCGTTTTTCTTGCACCTTCTCTCTCTCTCTGTCATTTCTCAACCTGCAAATAGGGGAGGTTCTGCCTGTGAGGCTAGAGATGTGATGCTATATGGGTTGCACATTTGTTTATGTGTGTGCAGGTAGTCCTCGACCTACAACAGTTCGTTTAGTGACCGTTCCAAGTTACAAGGGCACTGAAAAAAAGGGACTTGCGAACCATTTTTCACGGTTACGACCTTTGCAGCATCCCCACGGCCATGTCTTGGCAATCGATTCACATTTATGACACCGAAATACAATTTTACCATATTTTATCTATGTCTCAAATTATTGCATTTTATTTCAATTTCATTTTAGACCGTGTTTTATTCCGATTTCATTTTACATTGTATTTTATTCCAATTCCATTTTAAATTGCTTTTATTTTAGTAATCATTTGTTTCTGGAACTCTGCACTTCGATATGGCCCAAGGGCTAATCAATAAAGAAAGATACTAAAGCCTCACGTTTACAACCGTTGCAGTGTCCTGGGGTCATGAGATTCCCTTTTGCAACCTTCTGACAAAGCGAATACAATGAGAAAGCCAGATTCACTTAAGAACAGGGTTACCAATTCAAGAACTGCACTGATTCACTTAAACCACTGCGGCAAGGAAGGTCGTAAAACGGGACCAAACTCACTTAACAACTGTCTTGTTTAACAACAGAAATGTTGGGCTCGATTGTGGTTGTAAGCTGAGGACTATCTGTATTATTAGATCTTATTTCACACCATGGGGTTTTGGCAGGCCCAATCCTGGACTGTTCAGTTTGCTTTTTGGAATCCTTTTGTCAGGATTCCGGCAGTTACCCGCAATTAAATCATGAGTCTCGAGCCAAACTTCCAAAACCTCAAAAGGATTTATTGGGAGTTAACATGTCCGGCACTGCCTAGGAGTAGCCAACTCTGAGACACATCATTCATTGTCACCCTTGACCCTGGTTTCCCCCCACCCCCTGGGTGTATCGTAATTCATATCCTCCAATGGGACACATCCATAGCCCAGAGTCATCAGTCATGCTCTCCAGTTAGAAGTTTGCGGGGCAGAAACCTCAGTCACCTAGTTACTATCTCTGAAAACATTTATGGAATACACTTTCGGTTTTGCAAACTGCTGCACTGCTTCCCCCTCCCTTTCTGTTGGCAACTCGAAAAAGACCATAGAAATATTTTATGAGTTGACATCCTTCCCTTGAATGGGAATGGGAATGCCAACACACAGTCAGCCTTCGTTTGGCTCCGTTTCATGTTTGCTCAATCCCGTGTCGGCTTCAGTCTGGTGTTTTTTTTTTAACCAGTGCCAAATCAACACAATCTGCCCGAAAATGTGTATGTGTCTTTATTTATTTTTTTGAACGCCAGACTCAAACAGATGCATGTTTTCTACCATGGGTTTGATTCAGAGGTGGTATTCAGCAGGTTCTGACAAGTTCTGTAGAACCGGTAGAGGAAATTTTGAATAGTTTGGAGAACCGGCAAATACTGGCTCTGACTGGCCTCACATCCATCTATTCTCCGCCTCCTGAGCTCCAGCTGATTGGCTGGGTCTCCTTTGGTTGCCCTGCACAGGAGAACATAGCTGGAAAGCAGGTTAGTAGGGGGGGGGGGGAATGGGGATTTTACAGTATCCTTTCCCTGGACTGGGGTAAGAATGGAGATTTTACAGTATCCTTCCCCTGCCACACCCACCAAGCCACATCCACAGAACCGGTAGTAAAATAAATTTGCATCTCACCACTAGTGTGATTTTCCACACACACACACACACACACACACACACACACACACACACCAATGTAATGCCCCAGGTGCCTTTAAGCCAAACTAAATTGCGTGCTGAAGAACAAGAGGGTAGGTTAATGACGTGTTTATTTTGCCCTAGGTTAATGCATATATATATATACATATATGTATCGTATCATTGGCTTTTCTTACTTCTTATAAAGAGAGCTTTGGGTCTCCTTCGTGCGGTTCCGATTTTGCAGAGAAATGACTGAGAAAGCAGGCAGAATTTTGACAGGGAGAGCAGTTGCTTCCTCCACCTGAAGGAAATGATCTTCAACAGAATGGACGCTGGGCCCTGCAGTTGGCCACTGGAAGGTTTCTGAATTGAGGGTTGTACGTGAAAAGATGTTTCTGGAAGCAACTGGCAGCTTTCTGGTCACACTCACACACCATTTTCTCACAGCGGTCCCTTGATTTGACTGCGGAGAGGGAAGACCATGGCTAAATGCACATATGAGAACACAAACCGAAGGTAGATCAGCCTGATTTGGGCAGATTAGAATACTGTGGCTGGCAGGGTTTACCTCAGGGGTGTCCAACCTTGGCAACTTTAAGACTTGGGGACTTCAACTCCAAACTGGCTGGCCGGCTGGGAGGAATTCTGGGAGTTGAAATCCAAGAGGGATCTTGGAGTCTTAGTGGACAACCAGCTAAATATGAGCCAGCAGTGTCATAGAAATTGAGAGCCATAGAAATTGAACAAGGAGAGATTCAACCTGGAAATAAGGAGAAACTTTCTGACAGTGAGAACAATCAACTAATGGAACAGAAGTTGCCCTTGGAAGTTGTGGGAGCTTCATCACTTGAGACTTTCAAGAAGAGATTGGACTCCCATCTGTCAAAAATGGTGTAAGGTCTCCTGCTTGGGCAAGGAGTTGGACTAGATGACTTACAAGGTCCCTTCCAACTCTGATTATCTGTTATCTGTTAAATCCACAAGTCTTAAAGTTGCCAAGATTGGACACCCCAGGTTTATTTGTTTTTGTTTTTTTACTTTTTTGCCTTAAAAAAGGGGGTGTATGAAATTTAGGGTGACATCTTCCCTTGCAGGCCGACGAAGGCTACTTACAAAATCTAAGCCAAGTGAAAAGTGGCTGCAAATAGGCCAGCTTCTGGACTAAACTATGATTTAACAAGCTACCACAGTCTGGGTCACAGAAGCCCTAGTACTCATGCTAAGCCATAAATTACAGCTTGCAATGGCTGAGTTCCCACGTTGCACAAAGTTTAAACCAAGTAATCTAGTGGCCTGCTTAGCTGGACTCTCTTCCCAGTTTGATCTTCTTGCAAACCGCTACTTTGATCCAATTCTCCAGTTTAGCGTCTCTTTAACTTACCGCACTTGACTTTATCTCTCTGGGCATAAAACTGGTAGTTGAGGACTTTGGGGTTGCAGCCGTACATCTCTGCCTTGTTGTAACAACAGTCATGGCTGTGGCAACACCTTTCGGTAGAAAAAGAAAACACACATGTCCAGAGCGATAAATGAATGAACAAGGCTCAGTCAGGAGGGCTGTGGCCACCGAACGCCTTTGCGCAGAATTACATAACGTCTCCAGTTTTGATTTCTTAATACGCAGCACTGAGACTCTAGGAGGTCCACAGCCATTTTGGACAAGGACTCTAGAATATAATATTCTACTGAAATGGAATGAGAAAAGAATATAGCTCACTCCCTGCACCTTTGGTCACACCTCCTCCTCCTATCACAGGACAAACCTCTTACGTTGCTCTGCTAAGATATAGTTTATGGTAGGGGGTCTCTGGCAACTTTCAGATTCGGGATAATGCCAGTGTCCACTCCAACCAAATAATTTCGAGACAGACATCCTCTCAAAAGTTCGGTTATATTTGGATAATAAACTGGCACATCTGGGAAATCCTGAATCTGAAAGTTCTGGGTTTCCTTGCAATAAGTAAAACCTACAAATCCACCTCCTGCACTCATCATTGCATCACATGCCCCAATCACCATCCGCCCCAACTTGAGACTTACCCCTCACCCAGGTGCAGAAATAACATGACCTTCACTTCGAAGAAGAATGCTATTATGTCTAACCACATACGCTCCAAGAAATTCCCTCCTCCCGTTTTCCCTGGCTCAAGAATGTGGCAGTGAGGAAGCGTCTGGTCTCAATATGGCTGACACTGACAGCTTTAAGACTTGTGAACTTCTTCTGTTGCTTATTTTACTGCAACAGAGAGAGTCGGAAGTCAAATGTTTCTTTTTCTTCTTCCTAATCCTTCCTCACTTCTTTTCCTTATCTTCCTCCCCACTGCTTTCCTATTTACTTTTCTATTTTGTATCTTACCTTATAACTCAATCAAAATGTTAAACTCGAAGACTTGTGGACTTCAACTCCCAGAATTCCTCAGCTACTCATGTTGACTGAGGAATTCTAGAAGTTGAAGTATTAAACTGGCCAAGTTCGGAGAGCCTTGGTTTAGGGAAGACGAAGTCCTTGTAGGTTAAATAAAATAAAAATAAAAATAGCAGTAAAATAAAACATGACGCATCTTTCTCACCTAGCCAGCCAGTATCTTATAGCAGAAAAATTTCCAAGGAATGAGATGAGATTAAAGCAGTGGAAGTACCAGCCTACTTAAACTTTAAAATATCTAATGCAGTTGAAGGCAATACGGAATGGCATACACCTGAGGGAGCTGGCTGGCAGAGTTCTTCAGTGCTTCGCATTGAAGGGAGACCTCCCTTATCTGCCAACCAATGACTGACTGTTTTTGCAGGGCAAATAATTCATTTTGACAAGGGAGCTACCTGCAAGACCGTGCCTGTTCCACATAGATGCCACAGCAGAAAAGAAATATCTGAAATCAGTAGTTCATTCTTACTTTGGAGCTGGATGTATAATTCAGCCAGAGGCTTCTTTCTTCCTTAGCACTGGCAATTTTTGGTAAGCAAATTAAATATACTAATTTTAATAGATAAATTCAAAAATACAAGGATGGGGTGGGTGGAAGTAAGCCTTTGCTGGCACATGTGTGCTGCCTGGAAAATAAATTAGCAGCGTGTGCATAAAACACGAGAAGGTGTTTTGTTTTGTTTTAGTTTTAATCTTGGTAACTTTCTTTTCTGGGTGGATTTGCATCTTGGGTGAACATCATCAGTTATTTTGTCAGTTTGTTCTGTCTATGCCGCCGCAATTTTCAGATGCTCAGCAGCCTACATGATATGAACCCAGTAAACCAAAAAAATAATAATCCATGGTGCATCTAATAAAAACATTATGTATCTAGGTGCTAAAATCACAAATGAACAAACCACATTAAGAATAACACACACACACACACACCCCAAAAAAAAGGACAAGCAAAAAAGAATAAAACCAATAACAAATTAACTTGACTGGAAAAACTAAGTTTTTTAAAAAACATCCTTCTGAAAGTCATTAGAGAAGGAGCTAATTTGAGCCATTCCAAAGCACGGACAATGCTTGGGATGATCTCCCTTCAAACATGGTACAAAGCTAGAAAATGGGCTAATTGACAGCCGAGTTAAATGAATGTGCGAACGCAGTTTCTAAAAACAGTAGCTGGAGTTCAAGAAAAAAAGACGGGTGTTACCCCGAAGGAGTCCACTCCAGCTCTGATTACACCCACCGATTTCTCGATTTCTCCCACTCCAGTGGAATCCTTAGGACATTCCACATGTATTAGGCCACTTTTTGAACTTCTCTTTTCAGCGTGAAATCCCGATGGCCCCTGGATTCTAGGTAAAGGTTGATACAGTTGGATGAAAAGGGAAGGTAACCCCTCACCTGTCGATGGCATCTACAGGAAGGCCTTGAGTCCCAGGTCCGCAGTGGCACCCATAGTTGGTGAAGTTGGCCAGGCTGTAGGTAACGGTGCTGAGTTGGATCATCTCATTGAACTGAGAAGGTGTGCTGGTCACAAGAGCCAATCCTGAAAAAAGAGGAATTGTTCATTTTAGGGAAGCAGAAAGGGGGAGTTGCCAAGGCCATAGAGCAGAGGGTCTTTAAACCTGACAGCTTTTAAGACTTGTGGACTTCAACTCCCAGAATTCCTCCTCCAGTCCATGTTAGCTCAGGAATTCTGGGAGTTGGAAGTCCACAAGTCTTAACCATGCCAAGTTTGAAGACCCTTGCCATAGAGTCTGTCTTGGTTAGTCTGCCCGTTTCCCCTTCCCAGCATGCTTCATTCCCTCGCTCCAATTTGGCTTAACGACGGAGCCAACTCAGAAGGAAAGTCCCTGTCTTTGAGAAAAAAAATCTCTCCACATCTCCCCCAAAACCACATTTTTAAAATAAAAGACATGGTAAAGAGCACCTACGATTCCACTCTTGAAAGCAGAGGAACGGCAGAGGAATTGACTTACCACAAGCCAAAACCAGCACGGAGATGACAAGAGGCTTCATCTCTGCCATGGAGCAACAACCCAAAACGAATCTGGTTCAGCTGCTGGAGGGCTGGTCTTGTACAATTTTTCTGGAGCCACCTCTCGCCCTTTATAGGCACCCAAGCAATCAAATCCTTGGATGAAATTACCTGTCCCTCCAGCCACTGTTCATAATAATTATACCCAAAGACCAAAACAAAACAAAGCTACGGACCATAATTACCAAGGAGGTCTGAAAACACTGGGATAATTGTGTTGGATGATACCCAAGGATGAGGGCGGAGTCTTTGTCTAAGCATTATTATTATTATTATTATTTTTGGGGCCACTGACCACTGCTTTTTATTTATTTAAAACCTTGAGGAAAACACCACCTGGAGACAAGAGCCTTAGTGAGAGGCGAAATCAATATATATTTTTGGTCGATATCATGCTTGTTTAAGCATATGCAGAGGTCCATTTGAGATTAATTTATATTTTTCCTTTTTTCTTAACCTTTGTAAATAATGTGCCTGAAAATGTGTGCGTATGTTCTACTTTTAAGTATTCCCCCGCCCCCTTCAAAATCTCAATTCTAAATCTGTTATTGTTGTGGTTAGCTGGCAGCCGGTGAGGACGATAGGCACATTTCTTTTGGTCAAGCACAGTGATGGTCTGGTATAACCAGAAGCCATTTTTCTTAGCTTACACACATCCTCAATTTATACGCCCGTGACCCACATGGAAAACCAATGAGACACTCTTTGTAGTTGAGATCTGCTTTACTAGGCCTTTTGTGAATACCACCTGCAATCTGCCACCTAGAAGGGGTTCAGATAATGAATGGTTGGGAAGAAGACAAGGGCAGAGTGCCCTGGATGACAAAGACCACTGTGAGCCACATCTGGACCCTTTGAATGCAGATTTTATTTTGTGAACACTGAGCTATGATTTGTCTCTATCTGTTACTAACATTTTCCTTGAGTTCTTGCTTCCCTTTTAACCGATTTCTGGCCTTTCCATATTATTGAAAGACCTTCAGTAATGGAGGGAATGACTTGCCACCAGAAGTTGTGGGTGCTCCAACATGGAGGCTTCTAAGAAGAGATTGGACAACGATTTGACTGAAATGGTTTCTTGTTTTGGACAGGGGTTGGACTATAAGACCTCCAAGATGCCTTCCAACTCTGTTTACTCTACTCTACTCTACTCTACTCTACCCTACCCTACCCTACACTCTACTCTACTCTACTCTACTCTACCCTACCCTACCCTACCCTCTACTCTACTCTACTCTACTCTACTCTACTCTACACTACACTACACTACACTACACTACACTACACTCTACTCTACTCTACTCTACCCTACCCTATCTTGTGGGAAATTATTCCATATTAACTGAAAGAGCTTTTTGTCTGGAATTAGATCAGGGGGGCATCCTGTCTAAGATTCATTCATTCATTCATTCTCCCTCCCTCCCTCCCCCCCCCCTTCACACACAAACACACTCACACACTTACACACACACACAATATTTGCCATCAACTCTTTTAAGACCTTAAAGACCGAATCTGGTTTCCTCCAGTGAAGGGCTACAAGTTAATGACAGAGTTCAAAAGAAAAGAGGCAATGGCACAGAGGGAACAAAAATAAAGTACAAAATATTATTATCTAAAATAAATGGATGGTTCTTTCATTTATCTGTACTTGATGACATGTTCATTACATCGGAAGGAACAGGGAGGGCCATCGTAAACGTTTCTTTGTTTTCTCTTCTTTGTCCGCTGATTGTCCCTGGCTCAAGCGTAAACACTGATGGAGAATGAGGTGATCTTAGGGTAATTTAACAGCTGAGGTCATGGGCCATTTCTCATCTCGAGGGACAGAAAACCACCCGCAAAGGCAGCAATTTGGCAACCAGAAGGAAGAGTTTAGTCAGAGGGGAGAAACTGGATTACATGATGTGGATAGAGATGAAACTGAACATTTTGTCAAGCTAGTTAAGGCACAATAACATGAGAAATAGTCAGCTTGCCTTCTGACATGGGCTGATGTCCTGGAGATGAGGAAATAGTTCTCAAAATGTCCTGTTAGATGGTTTGATCAAAAGTGGGGGTTGTACAGTAAGGTGACCTTTTGATTTGTTAATAGGTTTGGGGTTTTATTTTTAGACTTCTGGTTTTTTTAGACTTCTGTAATCAAAAATCTGTTGGGTTTAATGACATCTTCTATTTGAAAAGGGGAATCTGAAATTATTCATCGTCTCAGACAATTCCAGGTGGCATTTTTAGTAGCTGGGCAAGTAGATCATGATCAAGTCATTCTATTAGAAAAACCAGGAAAGAAAATAAGATAGCTTGAGCCCATGTCAAACATTCAAGGAGGCTGAGCCTTTCAGAGCAGCCAATGGAGTGACTCACCACGTTATTGCCCCATTTTTCTTTCGCAAATGGAAAATTAAGAAGGGGAAAAAGAAGTATATATGAAAATACACACCCAGATTTTTCAATGGAGATGACCCTTCCCTTCCATGCAAGTTCATGATTTGTTTCAGAAGGAACAACAACGCCCTTTGGAATAAGATGTGCTGGATCAGGAATGCAAGATGTGGGACCAGTCACACAATATCTTTGCTCCAGCTAGGACTTTCAGCCAGTGACTTTCTCTGGCACACAACGTTCCCACTTGTCTTCATGTTCCTTTTTTTTTTTCTTTTCTTTTCTTAGAGGGCATCTATTCTCTTTTTCCTTCCATCCTTTTGCCTGCTTTACAAGGCAGGTTAGAGTGAAGATGTTATGGGATCGGATGGGATTCTAGGGTCAGGATGGTTATCGATGTCTCTCAAAAGAAGATGTCAACTCGTAAAGCATTTCTATGCCTGCTTTAGAGTTGCCATAAACAAGGGGGGGAGGAGCAGGGGGGCAGTTTAAAACCAGAAGTACATTCCTACCATTATCTTAAAAAGATTGTAACCAAGCTGCCAGATCTTCTGGCCAGCGAAATCCCTTAATTGGAGAAAGTGATTGATGACACTTAGCCCATGAACGTGCTTCATTGGAGTATCTGATTTATGATACACCCAGGGAGGAGAGGTGAAACAGGGTCACAGGTGACTGTAAATTACGTATGCCAGAGTTGGCTTCATACAGGATAATGCTGGTCATGTTCCTAATAAATCTTCTGGATTCTTTTGAAGCTTGGCTCGAGGCTCATGTTTTAATTAGGGCAATTGACGGAATCCTAACAGAAGGGGGATTTAGATTACTGCTTCTGAAGTGACAACCACCCCTGGAAGTTCAACTGCAGTAAGAGGGAAAAGGTTAAGTAGCAGGTGAAGCCAAGGGGCATTTGAGCAAAACAGCAGATATGTAACTTTAAACATGTCTCATTGCTTCACTTTTTCCTTGTCTTGGCCAACTCGTTGTTTTACCCATGCCCCGTGTTCCTTTTCAATCCTGTTGACCTGAAATTCCCCTCACAAATCCAGTTTCGGTTCTGTAACCCCATCCCAAATGCAGCCAACCCTACCCCATGCCTGCCCTTCTGCTGAAACCGAGAAGTTCTGTAACATTGGAAGCTTTTGTATCACTTTGAGTTTGATTGAAACTGACATGTATCTCTGGCCAGTTTTAGTTCTGGAACAGGGAGCAGTAAATTACAGCCTTGGGTAATAGATGGCTATGTACGACTTTCATAAGCATGCACAGACCAAAACAAAACAAAAGTATATATTATGTATAACAAAAAAAATAGATTAAGACCTCACCGAAGATGCTTGCAAAGACAAATCTCTCCATTGTTGCATGTGAGGGACCTTCAAATTATTCTTCCAGAGCATAGTGATATACTCTTGGTTTGCCTCCAGATAAAGCTGGCTGGATTTTGATACTGCTGGAATCAATAAAATAAATTGGTCACAGAGAGTTTAATTGAATTAAGTGCAACTTGAGTTTACTGGGGATCTAACTTAATGGATGGTGTCCCACATACACACTACTATAAATCCATATTGTTGTGATGCTCAAAAATTATGAGTTATTGTCATGGCTTATACAATGGCTGAGCTTCCACAATGCATCGGATTGAAACTACCCCACCCAAACGTGTTCGGAAAATGCAACCTATATGTTTCTAGCAAACACATGGTGGTTGTAAGGGGACGAGCTGAGGATATCTTGTTTCAATCATGGAGTTTTTCTTATGGAGGAAATGCTATCCCATGCTGTCTTCAGCTTCTTAAAGAGATCGAGAACATAAATTAAAAACAGGGGCCATCCAGATAATTTTCTGGCAAGAAACAAAGACAATGCATTCCCCTTAAATGTTTTTTGGTTCTAACTTTTTCATATCATTAGTCAATGATATGTGAACCTCTCCATGAATTTCATAGGGTTTAGGGCTCAACAAGAACTTAATTTAGTTGTTTTAATTTTTATTCGTTTCTAAAATTATATATATATATATATGTCACCTGATTCCCAGTGACTCTGGGCTTGTGAAGTTCAAAGCATGATTTCATTTTGCCTGGGCAAGCCCGATCAGAGATTTTTAAAAATGGCACACACCTATACACCTTTCTAAGATGTTTGCGACTTCCAGAGAGTCCCAGCCCTCATCTTGAAGACCCGTGGGTTATGGTATTACAGAGGGATCATACATCATTGAGTTGGGATGCGCCAAAGCTCAGCATGAAGTCAGCATTTGACTCAGGGGCTCATGGTAAGGGGGGGGGGGGGGTGTGAGGGGGGGGGGGGTGAGTCAGAATTTTCCTGCGGAGTTTAGAGGTCTGTCTTTGAGTCCAAAGAGAAAAACTGGATAATCTCAGGCCACAAGTTTAGATCTTCTGTTGATTTGTTCATTCTTGATGTTTTCATGCTGGGGAACCATTTGCCTACATCCTTTCCATTAAATCTGTTCTGTGTATGGGGGTCCCTTGATGCTCTCTGAGCTTGGCTGTTTTCTTGCAGACATTTCATTACCCAACTAGGTAACATCGTCAGTTGGGTAAGGAAACTTTCCTCCACTGACGCATAGTAT